CCTCCCAAGTAGCTGGGACTACAGGCGCCTGCCACAATGCCTGGCTATCTTTTGGTTGCAGCCATCATTGTTTGGTGGGCCCGGGCTGGATTGGAACCCGCCAGCTCAGGGGTGTGTGGTGGGTGCCTTAGCTGCTTGAGCCACAGGCGCTGAGCCTGGAAGCTGATTTTTAATTGCATGTTTCTTTTTTTCTTTTCTTTTTTTTTTTTTTGAGACAGAGTCTCACTGTGTCACCCTTGGTAGACTGCCATGGTGTCACAGTTCTCAGCAGCCTCAAAATCTTGGGTTTAAGCGATTCTCTTGCCTCAGCCTCCCGAGTAGCTGGGACTACAGGTGCCTGCTACAACGCCTGCCTATTTTTTTTTTTCTTTGTTCTTGCAGTTTGGCCAGGGCCGGGTTGGAACCTGCCACCCTCGGTATATGGGGCTGGCACCCTACTCACTGAGCTATAGGCACCACCCTGATTAGTCATTTTCATTTGGATGTAATTAATCTATGATTAGTTTAATTTCATTATTTTATTTTTGAGACAGAGACCCACTTTATTACCCTTGGTACAGTGCCATGGCATCATAGCTTCCAGCAACCTCAAATTCTTGGGCTCAAGTGATTCTCTTGCAGCCTCACATGTAGCTGGGACTACAGGTACCTGCCAGAATGCCCAGCTATTTTAGAGGCGGAGTCTCCCTCTGGCTCAGGGTTGCATTTGGCCTACTGATTTCATTATTTAATTAAATTAATTAATTAATAAATTTTTTGGAGACTGAGTCTCAGGCTGTTGCCCTGGGTACAGTGCCTTGGCGTCACAGCTCACAGCAGCCTCAAACTCTCTGGCTTAAGCTATTCTCTTGGCTCAGCCTCCCAAGTAGTTGGGATTATAGGCGCCAGCCACAGCCCTTGGCTGTTTTTTGGTTGCAGTCGTCATTGTTGTTTGGCGAGCCCAGGCTGGATTCGAACCCACCAGCTCTGGTGTATGTGGCTGGCTCCCTAACTGCTTGAGCTATAGGCACTGAGCCATGATTTCGTTATTTTAAAATAGCAGTTCTCAACCTGTGGATCGTGACCCCTTTTAACTGTATTAAAGGCTTGCGGCTTTAGGAAGGTTGAAAACCACTGTTTTACAAGTTAAGTTGTTAAGAAAATTTTTCACTTCAGAGTGTTTCAGTAAGCTATATTAATTATAGTATGTTGATAAAAAGTTAAGTGTCATTGCAGTGATCATCATTTTTTTTTTCACAGTACTATGTAGTTGGAGAGAGAAGAAACAAATGTAAAAAAAGTTTTCAAATTGTATATAAATTGTGTAGACAGATTTGGTAAGATGATTGGAATGTTGCACAAAGGGTGTTTAAGTCTCAAAGCCAGTTCCCAGGAGCCTTTTAACCTATGACTTAGGTGCCTTCAGAACTTTACTAATTTTATACCAAACCATTTTGGTAGGCATGTACTAGAATAGCATGGTAGTTTTTTTTTTTAGAGACAGAATCTCACTTTGTCACTCTTGGTAGATTGCTATGGAGTCATAGCTCATAGCAACCTCCAATTCTTGGGCTCAAGGGATCCTCTTGCCTCAGCCTCCCAAGTTGCTGGGACTATAGGTGACTGCCACCATGCCTGTCTATTTTTAGAGAGGAGGTCTCACTCTAGCTCCTGGCTGATCTTAAACCTGTGAGCTCCAGGTCAGTCCACCTGCCTTGGCCTCCCAGAGGACTAGGATTACCGGCATGGGCCACCATGTCTGGCCTAGTCTTGTCTTCCTTCTTTTGGAAAGTTTCTTCTGTTAATGTCCTTTGCCCTCACTTTTTTTTTTAAAAAGAGCAAACTTTATTTTATTTATTTATTATTTATTTATTTATTTTTGAGTCAGAGCCTCAAGCTGTCACCTGGGTAGAATGCTGTGGCATCACAGCTCACAGCAACTTCCAACTCCTGGGCTCAAGTGAATCTCCTGCCTCAGCCTCCCAAGTAGCAGGGACCACAGGCGCCTGCCACAACGCCTGGCTATTTTTTGGTTGCAGCCATCATTGTTGTTTGG